CAGGGCAATGGCGGATGTGTTTAGTCTAGGATATGGATATTTAGTAGGGTGTGCTATTGTAGATTCAGATCTACGAATGAATTAGACTAGGTGGCAGGTCCGTGGACCTGCCACGAGATATTGAACTGTTGAACAGCTGAAAAGTCTTTGTCATAATCTTCAAATTTTGAAACTGTTGGGTGCAAAATGTATTTTGCACGTCAACCTGTCGCCTATTCGTCGAGCAAGGTGAAATTTGGAGGTACTGTCATACCCCGGATATACCCCCATGGGGGGCACTAAAAAAACATGTTTTTTTTAGGGGGTGGGCTTATAATATAGTAAATTTATAAGCGCCGGCGTTTATGTTATGACAAAAATGAAATTTGTTTTTAAATATACCAAATCGAAGCACTCTCAAAGGCGGATTTACCAGAGTCGAGAACGTTCGAAATTGTGCATACTTTGCGCATGAAACGGCCAACAAGGCGTGGCAACACGCCTTCCACGCCTTGTTGGCCAGGCCAGGTTCATCGAACGTGAACCTGGCCCATGCCAGCACACACGTACTTCGCATCACAGCGGCCCAATCAGGGTTGCATGCGATCGTGGGCACGTCGTGGTTCAGCCACGGCGTGCCCATCAACAGCAAAATTCCCTGCCACTGAGGCAAAAAGCTGCCCAGCTCAGCTCCTCTGCGGGGAATCTTGACTGTGGCCACACTTTCCCCGCAGAGGAGGCCGGGCCGCGAAACTGAAGGGGTCTCGGGCGAGGGCTTCATACGGCCCTCATTGTCAACGTTTGGTTCAGTTTCTTTCGTTCGTTTGGCCTGCCGTGGCCATGGCGGGCCTTCCAGGCACGCATTTCTTGTTCCGCCGCCAACCTGCTGCCCGAGAAAATACCCGCAGAGACACCCGTGACTACTCTCAATGGCAGACGCGCCATGCGCCCGTCCCTCCATCACAACCAATAGTGCCTCCCGTTCCTCCCACTCCTCCTACGCCTCCTACCCCTCCTGCTCCCCCGGCGCCTCCCATACCTCCCGTTCCTCCGTCCCCTCCTGACCCGCCTTCTGTTGATGTTCCGCGACAGGGGGTTCTACAGCTTCTCCTCCCCCCTGGCTACTCGGCGTTCGACGCCTTCCTGTCCGAGCCTGAACGCAGCGGCGGCGAAGGATCTTCCTCCGCACCGGAGCCACGGTGGGGAGCCCCGGCTGATTGCCCGTTGGACGAATCCGCTACCGGTGCCGACGACGACGTGGAGTTCTGGGCTGCTGACGGTCTCCCCGAGCACCTTCCAATTCCCTCCTTTCCACCTCCGAATATAAAAGGGCCCCACCCATCTCGTGATGATCGTGATGCCCGTCCTCCCTCCCCCAGGCACAAGCCGACAGCTCACAAGCGCAATTCGTACACCTCGCAGGAGAAGCTGCAATGGATTCTGAAGCTCGAAGCCGGAAAGATGAGTGTGCGGCGCATGTCTCGCGAATCCGGCATCTCCCGAAGGTGCCTCACGGAGTGGAAGAACCGCAAGGCTGAGCTTGAGGGCGCGCACGGTGCACGATGTCGCCTGCACGGCCGCGGAAGGAGCTCGTGGTATCGCGACATGGAAGCGGAGGTGTACCGGAGGTTTCTCGCCCACCGCAAGAAGTGCTTCGCCATCTCGATCGCACGACTGCAGAAGTGGTCGCACGAGGTGATGAAAGAGTTACACCCAGGTGAAAAGTGGGCCGGCTCTCAGCGGTGGACTCAGCGATTTCGCCGCCGCTGGAACCTGACGACCAGAGCGAAGACCCGGGTCGGCCAGAAGCTCTCGTCCAGTGAGTTCTTATTTGGTGGTATTGTTGTTTGTCTGTTCACGTCTATTCACGGCTCTCACACTGTGTTTGTGCTTTCTGTTTCTCCCATCCCGTGTCCCAGACTGCGAGGCTGAAGTCAAGAACTTCTGGACGTACGTGCGTCACTCCCGCCGCCTGTACAAGATCGACCTGCCGTGGATTCTAAACGCGGACCAGACGCCCCTCTGGCTCGAGATGCCATCCGAACGCACCGTTGAAGAGGTTGGCGCGCGCTCCGTGCCCGTCCGCAGTGGCGGCTACCAGAAAGAGCGGGTTACAGTGATGCTCGCCTGCATCGCCAGCGGGGAGAAGTTGAAGCCGTGGGTCTTCTTCAAAAGGAAGACCGTCCCGAAAGGAGACTTCCCTTCAGGTATGCACCACACGTCGATTACGCGGTGGCCTGTTGATGTCCATTAAAAATTTCAACAAACAACGTGATTTTTTTGCTGTGCAGATATCCACGTGGGGGTCCATCCCAACGGTTGGATGGACGCGGACGGTGTCATCGAGTGGCTGGACGGGGCGGTGAAGCCGTACATCAACCCCAAGTTCGGAGTCCGCCCCTGCAAAGCTCTGCTCGTCCTCGATTCGTACCGCGGGCACCTCACCTCGGAGGTGAAGAAGAAGTTTGGCGAGCTGAACCTGGTCCCTGCGGTTATCCCTGCTGGCTGCACCTCGGAGATTCAACCCCTCGACGTCGCGGTTAACCGCTCCTTCAAGGCCGCCGTTCGCCAGCTCTACCAGGAGTGGTTTGAGCGTGAGGGGGTCGACACCTTGACGAAGAAAGGTGAGAGGTGCAGCCTTCCTGTTTATGTTTTTATTTCTTTAAGCCGTGCTGACTCGGTTTTTGGATTTGCGTGGCAGGCAACATCAAGAAGCCTCCTGTCGAGCTGACGCTCAAGTGGATCTCGGCGGCCTGGAAGTCCGTGCCCAAGGAGCTCATTCAACGGGCGTTCCTCACCTGCGGCATCAGCAACGCCCTGGATGGGTCCCAGGACAAGCTCTGCCTGCAACACAGGCGAGACGAGCTTGAGGGCGACGAGGTCGACATGGATGATGAAATTGCAGCAGACGGCTTCTTCTGCAACAACGTAGAGGAACCTGAGTCGGACTCTGAGGCCGACCCAGATGACCCCACTGCAGATGATGATTAGAGTAGGGTAGATGTGTAGAAAATGGTCAAGCCTGTGTGAGGCTTGTAGGTAGAAGTAGATTAACTAGATGTAGATTAACTACTAAGATGATGTTTTAGTGGTTTAATTGTGTTAAATGTCTTCAATTAGTAAAAAAAAAAACAACAAAAAAATAAAAAACAAGGGTGGCGGTTATAATTTGTAAGGCACATGTATGCGGTTATAATCTGTAAGCCTTTTAGGTATGCGCTTATAATCGAGCACCGGATATAAGCGCCACACGCCAATTAAAAGCGCCAGGCGCTTATCCGCGGGTGGCGCTTATATCCGGGGTATGACGGTATTTGTTTTAAGGAAAAATTTTATGTGTGGAATGCGCATTTTTTTGCTTTTCATTTTGGCGTTTACGTTTTGTGAATCGCCTTAGCGGTTCATAAGATGTGTACATTTTAGTGTGAGGTTGCATTCATGTGTTTTCATGATTGTTCATGCGTGCTTCCTGTTGTGTCATGAATGTGCGTGAAGTTCCGAGTGATCATGTGCTTTCATGAGCCTTCGCGTGTTCGTAAATGTTCGCGTGCTGTTCGTGCAAGCTTCATGAGCGTTCATGTTCGTTCATATGCGTTTATGTCTGCGCATGACTGTTTATGTTTCATTCGTGTTTGTTCGTGTTTTGTTCATGCATTTTCGTGAGTGATCATGGTGTGAGCAGGCCTCAGGATTGCAAGGCGTTTTACCCTGTTTGCCCTGCATTTCAGGGTGAAAATTTGGGCCCGCACTGCTAGAAATGGGTTTGACTGAGCGTCCACCCTGGCATCGTCAGGCAGGGCTAAAAACAAACCCTGCAAAAACTGTTTTTCTCTTACGAGCCACCCTGCATACAAAACTTCACCAACGAAGCCGAAATGTGTCCAGTAGCGTTTGTGAGTGAAATTTCCACAATCCATTAAGTACTTGAAACACCAGAGATTCGGCTTTAGCACAGTGAGTGGCATTTGTGACTGAAATGTGTCTAGTAGCGTTTGTGACTCAACACCAGAATCGGCTAAGTCCTTGAAACACCAGAGATTCAGCCATAGCACAGAGAGTGGCGTGTTATCGCTATTGACCCCACCTAGAAGACCCACTGACAGGCCTCTCATCTCCCCAACTCAAACCACTAAAACTCAACCCCCACGCACTTACGCATAGAGACGACCACCCCCTCTGTCTGTTAAGGTTGACAGTTTGAATCGAGCTAGGAAGACCCAGGTTCGATAATGGCAGGAAAAAGTGCCGGACCATAAAGTTTTTGCTAGGCAGTGTTTTCGGATTTTCCACCCTGCTAGATTCGACCTCGAAAAAAAACACACTGCTATTTCTTGGGTACGACTGCCAAGGCACACTGCAGAGGCAGGGTGTAGTGGGTCACAACTCAGATCACTCAGGGTGCCCCAAATTGAATCGAGAGCCCTGGGTGTGAGTCGAGTGCGCCGGGGAGGTGGGGCTCGAGCATTTGACTGGGCCCTTGACCAGTTTCGCACTGGTCAAAAAGTGCGCGACTGTCAGGACCCGAGCATGTGGTCCTGACATGCGCGTGTGGGCCCTCAGGCCCACGCGTGTGTCTGTGTACAGCTGTTGCTCATTTGAGTCCCCCAAGGTTGCCTTGTGCTTTGGGACTGTAAGTGCATTTTGCATATCGGCGGGTTCGTTCATTTTCGCCACGCCTGTGGCGTGCTTTAAAAAAACTCACAAAGTTACTGATTTGTTTTACTCGTAACAGTAATGGGTTGCATGGTTTGTTCCACATGTGTGTTCGGGGTTACCATCTTGTTTCCTCGTTGCAGGTTCGCCCAATTACAACTGACAATCACACCACTCACAAACATAGGCATAATGCAACCCACCCGCAACCAAATTGTTGTTGCACTTGTAGGCCAACCCCAGATCGACACCTCGACCACTAAGAACTCAACCAGTCAACGCTGACAAAGGTGCAATGTCAACGAGATGTTGACCCTGTTGCCAAGCATGAATGGAGTTCGAACTCAACAGAGGTGAGTTTGGCACACTCACAGACGCACCCACTCAGCCGCATCAACAAAGTCGTCCATGACGGCGGGAACACCAGCGTCAATCAGCGCCTGGCGAGGGGAGGGTGGCGTCATCCACGCCGGAAGGAAGCGGCCGCGAGGACGAGGGCGCCCGCCATCAGGGGTAGCGGAAGGTCGAGGAGTGGCGATAGGCGTCATGTTCAAGTTGATGGGCGGGCTTGCCCGCTCCATGCGCTCAATGATGAGGGGGTTGCGAATCTCAAAGAGAGCGCACAGCTCGCGGGGGTTGACGCCTGTCGCCCTCGCATACCCGATGAGCATTTCACACGCCGCACGCGCAGTGCGACGTGCTTCGCGCGTCGCCGGGTCCACATCGTCGTACACGGCCTGCATGGTTGCAGGCGGCTCCCAAGACTCAGACGAATACGACGTCGCGGGCTCAAGGGCGAGGGGATCCTCGCCCGGCTCGGCGCACGTCGGCTGGCCGTCATCAATGGCGACGAAGTCGGCGGCCGGCATGGCACTCGGACCGAGCGCAAGCCGGTCGATCATGATGCCCACGTCGCCGATCTCCTCGTCAAGATCGATGGGCAGCGGAGCAGCAGCCGTGCCGCCAGGAGTGAGCCCGCCGGCGCCCACGTGGGCCAAGGATAAGGCCCACGCGAGCGGAAGACAGCCCGTGCGCCACCAGCAACGCTGGATCGTGCGCGGGCCGATGTTCATCCACGCGTCCAAGAGCCAGTCGAGGACGTCGCGGAGATTGGGCTTGAAGTGCGCCAGAGACGTCGTGGAGCCGCCCTCCACCCACAGTGCCGTCACCGCCTCGAGCCAATGCTGACGATAAGGTGCCTTCATCATGGCGATGAGGCCCTGGTCAAGCGGCTGGGTGAAGCAGGTGGTGTTCGGCGGGAGGAACACTAGGCGGATGTTGCGGAGGGAGCGAGTGCGGAAGCCGAAGATGTCTTGGGAAACCACGTGCTCGCTTTTGAGGACGTGACTAGAGGCATTGTCGAGGAGGATGACAATGTTGCGATCCTCCGCGAACATAGTGTCAAACATTATATATGTTGTGGTTGTTTAGGCTACAGTGGGTTAGCCTTTAGGGGGTACACAATTCTAGGGTTAGGTACTTGTACTGATTTCACTGCTAGTTCAATCATTCCTGTCCGTTCATTTCGACATGGTTTCAGAGCAGGTCCTTCGCTAGGACCGTTTTTTTTTAGGGCCCACCGCTACTGCCTACCTACCTACCTACCTGCGCCCTAGTGCGCCTCGTTTTTCACGGCCCCCTAAGGCCCCGCGACCCGCGACCCGCCCCTTAGCGACCCGCGTGCCTCCCCTTAGCGGCCCCGTTGGCCCCGCATTCGCCCCCTAGAGGCCCCTTACGGCCCCGCGCTCGCACCTAGAGGCCCCTTACGGCCCCGTCGCAGCCCCTTAGAGGCCCCGTCGGCCCCGCGCGCCGCCCCTTAGAGGCCCCGTCGACCCCGCGCGCCGCCCCTTAGAGGCCCCGCTGGCCCCGTCGACCCCGCGCGCCGCCCCTTAGAGGCCCCGCTGGCCCCGTCGACCCCGCGCGCCGCCCCTTAGAGGCCCCGCTGGCCCCGTCGACCCCGCGCGCCGCCCCTTAGCGACCCCCGCGCCGCCCCTTAGAGGCCCCGCTGGCCCCGTCGACCCCACCTGCTGCCCCTAACCGCCCCGCACGCGACAGCGACGGCCCCGCCAAACCCAGGCCGCCCGAACCGAGCCGCGCAGCCCACACCGAGCCGCGCCGCCCTAACCGAGCCGCGCCGCCCTACCTGAACCGAGCCGCGCCGCCCGTCCTGACCGGCCTCTCTGGACCGAGCCGCCCTACCTGAGTCGCGCTGCCTACTACTGTTAGGGTGCACCTACTGCTACTGCTCCTACTGCTACTATGGCTAGCCCTCCTGTGCTAGCTTTCGATACTGAGGGACGTCCAGTGAAGTTTGACACCTGGCTAGATGACCTGCACCTCTTCCTACAGCTCACTGCCAAGGAGGACATCTCACTGTACGATCACGCCCTAGGCCATGCCACTGCACCTGCTACTACTGCTGACAGCTCTACCCGCTCACAGTGGCAGACTCGTGATGCCCACGCTCGCTTTGCTATTCGCAACTCCCTGCCGATAGATGAGCGCGAGCACTTTGGCCAGCACAAGACTGCACAGGAACTGTACAAAGCTGTCGTTGCCCGCTACTCCTCACCTGCCTCCGCCGCACTAGGCCGTCTCTCGCTTCCCTACCTGTTCCCCGACCTGTCCTCTTTCCACACAGTCGCTGACCTCATCACGCACCTCCGCACTAGTGAGGCTCGCTTCCGCGCCGCTATGCCTGATGAGTTCCTTGCCAAGAACCCCCCCCCGCTCTGGCTCACTCTCTACCACCTAGTCACCCGCCTCCCTGACTCTCTGCGTGCAGTCAGGGATTCCTTCCTAGCTCGCTGCCCTACTGAGCTCACCATTGCCCTCCTCGAGAAGGAACTACTTGCAGCTGAGGCTAGCATAGTCGCTGTAGGTACCTCTCGTGGCGACCCCCGCACCCCGTTCTTTGAGGGGTGTTCTCCTTCCCCCCTTCTTCCCTCTGTCGCCTCTGCTGCTGCTGTCGACCTCCTTGGTGCTGAGAAGGTCGGGACTGCGTCTGCTTCGAGCGGACGCCGCAGCGGCAAGGGCAAAGGGGGCAAGGGAGGCGGAGGTGACGGCGGGGGAGGAGGTGGTGGGGGCGGTGGCGGCGGTGGGGGTGGTGGCGGGGCTGGAGGGGCGAGTGGCAGCGGTGGGGGTGGTGGCGGCAGCGGCAGGGGAGGTGGAAGGGGCGGGGGCGGTGGTGGGGGTGGCGGTGGACGCGGCGGCGGCAGGGGTTGGGGTGGTCGAGGAGGTGGGGGCGGAGGTGGTGGTCGTGGAGGCGCTGGCGGTGGCCAGAGCCAGCAGCACACTCCGTCGCCCCAGGAGGTCCGTGAGTGGTACTCTCAGCACGGGGGGGGGGGGGGGGGTGGCTTTAGCTGCACGTACGTCATTCGCACTGGTGACCGCACTGGTCAGCCGTGTGGGGGACCACACGCCACGCAGCGCTGCTTCGCTCGCCTCAACGACGCTTGGCGTGTTCAGTTCCCTCAGGCCACTGAGCTGCCCCGCTGGGTTGATCTCCTGAAGAAGGGGATTGATATCTATGCTCTAGACTTTGATGCTATTCTCACTGCCATGTATGTGATGTCTACTAGTGGAGAGGGTGCTGAGTACCTGTGTGTTCCGCCCGACCCGGGCATTAGGACCAGTGCGTCTGCCGCTTATGGTCCGCGCGTGTCTGCTACCTCAGGTGCTGGTGAGGCTGCTGCTCTAGGTGCTTGTGCGTCTGCGCCCCCTGGTACTGAGTCGACTGAGGCACTACACACCTTCACACTGGACTCAGGTGCTTCTCGCTGCTGTCAAACATTGCATGTTTATATTGTCTAGGCTGTAGTGGGTTACACCTTAGGGGGTACACAAAGTTAGGGTTTCCTACTTGTACCAAACTCTGTTCTAGTTCATTCATTCCTGCTCAGTTATTTCTGACATGGTTTCAGAGCAGGTCCTTCGCTAGGACTGTTCTTAGGGCCCACCGACTTACCTACCTGCTTACCTTCGCTTCTTTTCGGCCCCGATGGCCCCGTCGATCTAGCACGATCTAGCGGCCCTGCGGCCCCTTCGAATTTTTTTTTTTAGCGGCCTCTCACGGCCCCCGTCGCGTCGCCCCTTAGCGCCCCGATCGGCCCCGTCACGCCGCCCGCGAACCGCACAGCGCGCCGCGCTCACAGCCCGCGAACCGCCCACGCACAGCCCGCGAACCGCCTGCGCAGCCCGCGACCAGCCCGCGCAGCCCGCGCACAGCCCGCGAACTGCCCGCGAGCAGCCCGCGACCTGCCCGCGAACCCCCGCGAGCCGCCCGCGACCCGCTTACGCAGCCCGCGAGCAGCCCGCGCAGCCCGCGCTGAGCCTGCGCGGCTCGTGCGCTGACCGCCGCCGGCCCGCACGCTGCCCGCACTGCTCCCGGCCCGCCGCTGCCGAGCCCGCAGCCGCCCGCGCACCGCCTCTGCTGAGCCCGCAGCCGCCCGCGCACCGCCGCTGCTGCGCCCGCTGCCGCCCGCGCACCACCGCTGCTGAGCCCGCAGCCGCCCGCGCACCGCCTCTGCTGAGCCCGCCGCCGCCCGCGCACCACCGCTGCTGCGCCCGCTGCCGCCCGCGCACCACCGCTGCTGAGCCCGCCGCCGCCCGCGCACCGCCGCTGCTGCGCCCGCCGTCGCCCGCGAATCACCGCTGCTGAGCCCGCCCCTACTACGCCGGCTCTCGCTGCTGCCTGCTGCGCCTGTGCACCACTGCATTCCTACTACTACACTTTCTGCTACTACTGCTTGTGCGCCACTACAGTCCGTAGGCCCCACCGGCCCCGCTGACCCTGCGCACGCCTTTTCAGTGACTTTACTGCTTCTACTACTGCCGCTGTCGCTATGGCTAGTCCTCCTGTTCTAGCTTTCGACGCCGAGGGCCGTCCGGTCAAATTCGAAACCTGGCTAGATGACCTGCACCTTTTCCTACAGCTCACTGCCAAGGAAGATATTACACTGTACGACCACGCTCTCGGCCATGCGACCGCCCCACTCGCTACTGCCCCCCCAGCTGAGCGCTCACAGTGGCAGACCCGTGACGCGCACGCTCGCTTTGCTATTCGCAACTCCCTGCCGCTAGATGAGCGCGAGCACTTCGGCCAGTGCAAGACTGCTAAGGACCTCTACACAGCTGTAGTGGCCCGCTACTCCTCACCCGCTTCTGCCACACTAGGCCGCCTCACTCTCCCCTACCTGTTCCCTGACCTAGCCTCCTTTCACACTGTCGCAGACCTCATCACCCACCTTAAGACTAGTGAGGCTCGCTTTCGCGCTGCCATGCCTGATGAGTTCCTCGCTAGCAACCCCCCCCCGCTCTGGATCACTCTCTACCACGTTGTCACCCGCCTCCCTGACTCTCTGCGCCCTGTCAGGGACCAGTTCCTCTCTCGCTCCCCCACTGAGCTCACCATAGCCCTCCTCGAGAAGGAACTGCTTGCAGCCGAGGCTAGTATCGTCGCTGTAGGCACCTCTCGTGGCGACCCCCGCGGCCCCTTCTTCGAGGGGTGCTCCCCTTCCCCCCTCCTCCCCTCTGTCGCCTCTGCTGCTGCTGTCGACCTCCTTGGTGCTGAGAAGGTCGGGGCTGCGTCTGCTTCAGGCGGACGACGCAGGGGCAGGAGTGGCAGGAGTGGGGGTGGTGGCGGAGGAGGCGGGGGTGGAGGTGGTGGCGGTGGAGGTGCGACTGGAGAGACTAGTGGCGGCAGTGGTGGAGGTGACAGCGGTGTTGGGAGTGGTGACAGGGGCGGAGGTGGCAGCGGAGGCGGAGGTGGTCGTGGCAGCGGCAGGGGTGGAGGTGGCCGGGGCGGAGGCGGAGGGGGTGGTGGTCGTGGAGGCCCGGGGGGCGGTCAGAGTCAGCAGCCTTCCCCGACCCTTCAGGCCGCCCGTGAGTGGTATGCGCGGCGCAGCGTCACCTGCCAGTACGTTATTCGTACAGGTGACCGCACTGGCCAGATGTGTGGGGGGCCGCACCAGACGGAGCGCTGCTTCGCCCGCCTCAACGATGCGTGGCGCACCCAGTTTCCTGGTGGGGGTGAGCTGCCGCGCTGGGCTGATCTGCTCAGGAAGGGTGTTGATATTTGGGCACTTGACTTTGATGCTATTCTCACTGCCATGTATGCGATGTCTATTAGTGGAGAGGGTGCTCAGTACTTGCGTGTTCCGCCCGACCCGGGCATTCAGGCCAGCCCCGCTGCTGCTCTAGGTGCTAGTGTGTCTGCTTCCACAGGTACTACTGCAGCTGCTGCTCTAGGTGCTTGTGCGTCTGTGCCCCCTGGTACTGAGTCGACTGCAGCACTGCACACCTTCACACTGGACTCAGGTGCTTCTCGCTCTTTCTTTCGTGACCGCACTGTCCTTGAGCCTCTAGCTCGGCCGGTTGCTGTCTCTCTTGCTGACCCCTCTGGGGGTCC